CTGCCTCAACCGCTCTCTACACCCCCTTCTCCCGACAGCCCCCCCAGAACCCCCGACCAATCTAACCCCACTCGTTCCCTGTCCCTTGCCTGCCTCAACCGCTCTCTACACCCCCTTCTCCCGACAGCCCCCCCAGAACCCCCGACCAATCTAACCCACCCCCGTTCCCTGTCCCTTGCCTGTGTTTGGCTGCGAGCTCCACGTGCAGCCAAACACTGTGACATTGCTCTGCGGGGGAGGAGGGAGCGGGGGAGGGAGAGGGACTCTGGCTGCTAGAGGCCCCAGTGGCTGCGAGCGGCTTTCAATCAGGCCCAGCCGTCCAATCAGCCGCGCCGCACTCTGCATGGGGGAAGGGGGATATCCCGGACATTTCTACTTTATTAGAAATCCCCCCCCCCAGACAGCCGTTTAAAGCTGAAAAAGCCGGACATGTCCGGGGAAACCTGGACGGATGGTAACCCTAGTCTCTCTGGCTGGCTTTGAGGGGGAAAGCGCCGCTTCTCTCTGGCCGCTGGCTGCGCAGCTGCCCCTGCTCCTCCTGAGTCCTCCGGTCCGTGCTCGCAGGGCCGCATTTTGAAAGGGGCTTTAGAGCTGTAGGCCTGGGGCCCCCTTAGCCCAGGGCCCTGCAGCCCCTAAAGCCTCTGCGTTCTGGGTGGCCCTGCCTGCTGGGGCGGTGGGTTTCAGCTTCCCCGCTCGCTCGCTCGCTCCCTCCTTTCCTCCCTCCCAGAAAGTCCTAAGGGGGGAAGCCCTGGGAGGGAGAGGAGGCGGAGAAGAGGAACTTGTGCAATGCTCCCTTGTAAAGTCAGCCAAATGACGTTATAAGGGAGCATTGCACAACTTTAAACGAGCATGTTCCCTAATGGAGTATCGACGTAACTTCGAAACAACGTTAAGCGGGAGGACGTTAAGTGAGGAGTTACTGTATAGTCATCCCCTATGTGGATGCTTTTAGTCTAGGATAAGAGTGTTTTTTTCCAGTTTAGCTTAAATCCTTTCCCAAGTGATATAAAATAAACTGAAAAAAGTCATTCTTATCCTGGAATAAGTGTGTCCTCACTGGATTTGTATCAGTATAACTTTATTAGTTTAAATTAACAACTTTAGCTTATACTGCAAAAACTTTCCCAATGTAGACACAGCTGTAAGGTCTAGATCCTGTAGATAGATCAGCGTGGGAGCAGTGGTTTAAAATTGTATGTACATTTTTGCTTTAGCATCAGGACATTATGCTTAAATGTTGTTTGCCAAAATGTTTGAAAAATACTGTATGAATTATTATATAAGAGATTTTTTAGGGGCTATGCTAGACAACATGTCATAGAAGGTCTTCAGCCAAGAACGACCTACAGATTTCGACTAAAGATCACTAGTCCTACAGGGGACTGTGCTTATAGTCCAGCTGTCTCTGTATCCACTACAAGTAAGTACAGACTTTAATTTATTATAAGGTGACAAAAATTACAGAATTCCTTACTATTTTAAAAAAAATTGATATAAAATAGCTGTTGAATTGAAAACTGTAGTTCGGAATTCACAAAAATTGAAATGTATATTTTGTAAACATAAATTTATTACTTATTCTAAGAGTATTATGGGTTCTGAGTCACCTACAAGCTGTTTAGTTCTGTATTCTCTAAAATAGTAGTTTAATTTTACAAAATATAGTGTGCTATTTCAATTTCCTCTTCATGTTATTCAGACCCCAAGTGTTGGAGTAGAAAATAGGCCAGGAGTGTTACTAGTTCCATCAAATGCTACTGTGGTTTCTTTTTTTACTCACTTCACTTGAATTCAAAACCAAGTTTATTCTCAAACTGAAATAAAGGTCTGTCCCTTAAAGAGGAAGAACAGAAAATATATCTGAGTCTGTCAGCCACAGGTTTCAAGAAAGGCTAGAGAATGTCTCTGTGTCAGAGAGAGTGGGACATGGGACTCTCTGATTTGGATTGTCTCATTGGGGAGTAGCACAAGGGAAAGAATCAGAAATACTTTAATCAGTGAAAGATGTCTTCCGATTTTAAGAGTGACAGAGACAGGGCCATAAGTGGTGGAATATATATCCCTTGTCAATAAAAATATTCCTAATAACACATTTTTCATTCTGGCCTATTCTATTTCATATAATTTACTTAGAATTTTTTTTTTATTGAGAATGTTAGTTTTCTTTATTGTTGTGTGTGTCCAGGAATCATATCTGTGTATTGTGTGCTCTGAACAAGTTGTGTTTCTGCTGTCGTTCTAAAAGTTAAAGCTGAAGAGGTACAATTTACTGCTCGGCAGGAGAGACCAACTGCAAGATGTGATTCTTGAACATAGAAAAGCAAAGGGAGATGCAGTATTACCAGCCTCAAGTGTTCAACAATCATCAGTCAGGCCCCCAAAATCATGAAATTGGCTTAATCATAAGATATTAAAAATAATAAATGTTGGGTTCTTAGTCTTTAAGTCACATTTGAGTCACGTTTTCAGGCTTTTATCTGTAACCTGCATGATTGCCATTGGATCTTGTTATGCCTGTTTGTCTGCTAGATTAAAGAGCCCTCTATCAACATTCTGTTCCCCGTGTAGGTACTTATAGACTGATCATCACTCGCATCTCATTGTGTAGCAGTCACGGTCGTGTAATCTTCATGTGGTAAATTTACTGCAGTACTCTGGCACCGCCAATGGACCAACATTGCCTAATTTTGCAGTTCTGTGGTAAATGTGTCACAATGACTGCACTTTTGGCACCTTCACTCTTCATTGTGATATGGCAATTCCTATGAACAATATAAATATAAACAGTTTTATTAAATAGTGAAGCAAATATGGCTTAAACCTGAATAACTTGCCATATAGACTATTTTCTTTTAACTGTTGCAGTTGCATGTAAATATTTTCCATTAACCCATTTGTAAAATAGTCTGTGAACATTATATTATGCACATGAAAACAGACTATGACTCTAGGTTTCTAATTTGCATTCAGTTGGTTAGTGGTTTAATAAATCAGAAAAGCAACTACTCTATTTGAAAAAAGGGTGTTCTGCCTTTTTTTTCCTCCAGGAAAAGTATAAGAAAATACTGCTTAAATGAGGCATGCAATTTTAATCAATTGGGCCCTAAAAAAAAGAGAGACAAACAGCTGCTGCTTGTTAATTGGTGAATGTCTTCACCAATGAGCTCATCATTTATTCACTGCTTTCAATGGAGCCTTAAATTCCATAAATAAAGGTGTTATCACCACATTATAGTATGACTGCTTGCACATCTGTAACAAAATGACTCATTTATAATACATGAAGGATTCATTTCAAAAGAGAAATGTATGACTTTCACCTGTGCAGATTTATTGTGCTTTTCTAATTATTATGTTTTATTGTGAGTGGACAGAACTCTCATATGAAAGCACAGGCATGCATGCTTAAATTCACCATATGAAATGTTAATTTTTAAAAATATTTACATTAAATTTTGGAACAGCACTAAAAAATTCATATATCTCACTTTTATTTCCTCTGACTCTTACATTGACCCCCTACACAACCAGATAACTGTTCTTTTCCAAATAAATTGCCCTTGCAGATTCACACTGTGGTTACCTTGGAAACTAGATGCCCTGCCATGTGGATATGTAACCTTGACAGGGAGGTTTTGCAGTGGCAATGCCAAGGAAGAATTTCGAGTTTTGAAGATTATTTTAAAATATGTATGTTTCAGTAGTGTGGACAGGAAATTAGCAATGATGAATCCAGGTAGACAACATTAATGGTAGTTGATTCTCCGCTCATTTATGCCAGTTATGCAAGACTGTAAATAATTAGATTTATATTTATATCTTTGTTGTATTAGACATTAATATACATAATTAACAACTTTCATATTTTTTCAGGAAATCTAAGTGGGAAAAGGGCATAAGAATTCTGTATGCCTGCAAACACCCATTCCAAATCATGGATTAAAATATATTTGAATGTTCCCACTATTTGATTATTTTCTGGTTGAAATTATTATATATTATATTTGTATTTAATAGACTTCATTTTTAATATTCAGTTTAGAAACTTTATATTATTTTTAATTGAAGTAGAATGTCCTGAAAATGTTTGATATATGTTGTTTGTAGACTAAATAACTCTCATTGTATTGTTGGTGTACATACTAATGGGTAACTGGTGCTCTGGTCTTGAAATTCAGGGAGAAATTACCTGCTACTAAAGCATACCATTTTAAAAATTCCTGACCGTTTATCTTTGTTCTGTGGTTAACTATAGTGTCAGATAAATGCAGGTCTGGAAGGGACCGTCAGAAGTCGTATAGTCCAGCCCCACTGTCGTATAATCCAGCCCCACTGTGCTGAGGCAGGGACAAATATACCTAGATCATCCCTGAAAGGTGTTTGTCTAGCCAGTTCTTAAAAATATTCAATGACAGGGATTCCACAACCTCTCTAGGAAGTCTATTTCAGTCTTTAATTATCTGTATAGTTAAGTAGTTTTTCCTAACATTTAACATAAATTTCTCTTGCTACAGATTAAACTGATCACTTCTTGTTCTACCTTCAGTGGACAAGAACAATTGATCACAGTCCTCTTCTAACAGCCCTTAACATATTTGAAGACTATTATCAGTTCCCTCCTCAATTTTCCTTTCTCAGGACTAAACATGTCCAGTTCTTTTTAATCTTTCCTCATAGGTTAGGTTTTCTAAATTTTTGTCATTTTTTTGTTGTCCTCTGAACTTTCTCCAATTTGTCCATATCTTTCATAAAGTGTGGCATCCAGAACTGGACACTGTCCTCCATCTGAGGCCTCCCCAGTGCAGATGACAACAGGACAGTCATCTCTCTCATATCTTACATATGAAACTCTTGTCCATACACCCCAGAGTGATGTTAGTCCTTTTTGTAACTGCATCACTTCGTTGAATCATATTCAATTTGTGATCCACTGTAACCCCCAGATCCTTTTCAGTCCTTAGTCAGTTATTCCCCATTTTGTAGTTGTGCATTTGATTTTTTTTTCTTTCTAACTGTAGTACTTTGCATTATTTTCATTGAATTTCATTTAGATGATTTCAGTTCTCTAGTTTGTCGAGGTTATTTTGAATCCAGTCCTCCAAGCACTAGCAATCCCTCTCAGTTTGGTGTCATCTGCAGATTTTATAAGTGTACTCGCCACTCCATTTTCCAAGTCATTAATGAAAGTAATGGATAGTACTGAACCCAGGACAGACACCTGTGGAACCCCTCTAGATACATCCCTCCAGTTTGACAGTGAACCACTGATACCTGCTCTTTGATATGGTCTTTCAACCAGGAATGCACCCCCACCCCTTTCATCAAGACCACAGTTCCCTAGTTTGCTTACGCGAATGTCATGTGAGACTGTGTAAAAAGCCTTACTAAAATCAAGGTATATCAAGTCTGCAGCTTCTCCCGCATTCCCTAGGGCCGTTACCATGTCAAAGAAGAAAATTAGTCTGGCTTGGCATGACTTGTTCTTGATAATTCCGTATTGGCTATTACTTATTACCCTACTGTAGGTGCTTGTCCAAACTGATTGTTTAGTAATTTGTTCCAGTATTTTTCCAGATATTGAAGTTAGGCTGACTAGTATATAATTCCCCATAATTCTACTTTTGTTTCCCTTTTCAGGTTTACCTGAAAGCAGCTAACAGAAGTGTTTCTGTCTTTAACACTCAGATGCCCAACTCCCAATGGGGTCTAAATCCAAATAAATCTGTTTTACCCTGTATAAAGCTTATAAATTGTTCGCCTTCTATAACACTGATAGAGAGAGGGAGCTGTTTGCTCCCCCAGGTATTAATACATACTCTGGGTCAATTAATAAGTAAAAAGTGATTTTATTAAATACAGAAAGTAGGATTTAAGTGGTTCTAAGTAGTAACAGACAGAACAAAGTAAGTCACCAAGCAAAATGAAATAAAATGCGCAAATCTATGTCTAATCAAACTGAATACAGATAATCTCACCCTCAGAGATGCTTCAGTAAGTTTTTTCCTCAGACTGGACACCTTCCAGGCCTGGGCACAATTCTTTCCCCTGGTAAAGCTCTTGTTCCAGCTCAGGTGGTAATTAGGAGATTCTTCATGATGGCTCCACTCCTTTTGTTCTGTTCCACCCCTTTATATATCTTTTGCATAAGACGGGAATCCTTTGTCCCTCTCTAGGTTCCCACCCCCTCCTTCTCAATGGAAAGCCACCAGGTTAAAGATGGATTCCCGTTCAGGTGACATGATCACATGTCACTGCAAGACTTCATTGCCCACTTGCCAGCACACATGTATACAGGAAGACTTACAGGTAAACACAGCCATCTGCAGACAATTGTCCTGGTTAATGGGAGTCATCAAGATTCCAAACCACCATTAATGGCCCTCACTTTGCATAATTACAATAGGCCCTCAGAGTTATATTTCATATTTCTAGTTTCAGATACAAGAGTGGTACATTTATACAAATAGGATGATCACACTCAGTAGATTATAAGCTTTGTAATGATACCTTACAAGAGACCTTTTGCATGAAGCACATTCCAGTTACATTATTTTCACTCATTAGCATATTTTTATAAAATCATATAGACTGCAATGTCACAACCTTCGTTTCCTTTCTTAAGGCTTGGAAGGTCTGGAAATCTGGAGCTTTTATGCAAATTATATCTTGCCCAAATTTGCATATTTGAAGATGGTGCAGTATCTCATTTGTATAATATTCCCCTTCACTGTCAACCCCATCATTTTTCCCCCAAGCCATCAACTCCTATCAATCCTCCTCTTCCAAGTAATCCATCAGTTCCCTTGAGGTTTTCCCCAGTCTCTCCTCCTGTATCTGTCTTCCATATCCCCTACCCTGCCCTAAGTATTCCTCCAGCCCTTCTTTTTTCTGGTTCCCCCTACCTTCCCCTTTCCCTTGAGTTAGGTGTCCGCCCATCTCTTTCTCTGTCTTCTTCTTGAGGTTTCCTATCCATCTTCTGTTTGATTTCTCCTTTGGGCTTTTCCCAGGTCTCTCCCTTTCTAAGGCTTCCCCTTCCTCTCTTGAGTATGCTTTCCCTCCCTCCCCACCCCACCTTTTTGCCCCCCTTTCTCCCGGCTTTTTCCCCCTGAATGCTAGAGGGACCTAAGGCACTGTTTGTTTTTCTTCCCTGTGGGTTGGTTATATGCTGGAAAGGGACAGACTGCTAAGGTTTCCTACCTAACTCCCTGGTCTGGGTTGCAGCCTGCTGCTCCTTTTGCTGGCCACCATCTGCAAAGCTGCCTTTATTTGTGTTGCTTAGCAGAAGTTCAACATCTGCTCAATTGGTATGCAGGAAGAGATGAGTGAAGAGCACAGAGCCTCTGAGCTGATTTCAGGCTCATTTGCATGGCCTCCCAAGAAGCTGCCTGAAAAATAGGAGATTCAGGCAGCCAACCAAGAACCCAAGAGAGGGAATCTGAAGTATACCAGGGAAATTTTTTCCTCACAATGCTCCTCTCATGGTGGATTTGATTTAAATCAAATTTCATGATTTAAATCACTAGTCAGGAAGACTCAGTTTAATCATAAAATTTCTACATATGGGTTTCTACATAAAAGTGCATTCTTGTTGGTTATTATAACCTTAATACATATTCTTCACAACTCAGAGATAGATGACCCCCAAACTGGGTCTCTTTTATGACCTGCTGCCATTATACGTTTTCCCTTCTAGTGAGAGAATGCTATGGTAGATCTCAAATCAATGAAGACTACTCTCAGAAAGACCTCAAGACTTCTAGAATTTGCTGCTCAAACAGTTTCACTTCTGTTTCTACTGCCTGTCCCTCTCCTCTCACATTTATCTCCAGACATCTTCTCCTTGTCCAGATCTATTCCACCCCCCAACAATCTTCTATTCATTGAACTTTTTGAAACTTTGCACTTTTAGAGAGAGGTAAGGGACTGACTCTGTGTACACAAATTTGCAGAGGGACAATAGAGTTGAGGTCTGTTATTTCTCACCTCTATATATTATTTTTATTTAAAAATATTTTTGCTGTTAACAAGCATGTTATCTCTGGAGACACAAATCCACAGTTTGAGAACTGCAAAACTAAGCATCTCTGATGGTATCTTCTAGACTTAGCACTGAGTCCCATTGGGTAGATAGAAAGATTAACCTAAATAGTCTATACGGAAGCCTCTGGAACCCCATAAGATTGGGTCCCTAATCCATGAACTATTTGAACTCATTTACAAAACTTTTCTTAAACATTACATGAATATATTGTCTCATACTATAGAATTAGAATTTATAATCCCTATTCCATAATGATATCTTTGAGCTATAATGTATCTTAATTAAAACTATCTTTACATAGGGTTTTTTCCTTCAAAAAGCATTTTATCAAAAAAATCTGATTTAAATAAAAAAAATCTGTTTTTTTTTAAATCATTGATTTTTATCCACTCTTGCCCCTCTACAGAAGTGGTATGTCTCTTCACTACCCATAATGCAGGGTTGTGGCTAAATATCACACTCTATCCCTAATAGAACTGTGAAGCATCTTCTAAAGAAGTAAAGTGAAATGTAGGAAGTAAGATGTGTGAATTAAATCTGACTCACCAAAATGCTGTTATGTTTTTTCTCCTTTATCTTTATCTTCTTTTAATTTCTCCATTTTCTTTCTAATTTTTTCTTATTCTCTCTTGTTTACTTTGCTCCTTTTCTTTCATGGTAAACTGTTTTAGCAGCTACAACAGCATCACTCCCTTTTGTAGTGTCCACTCTCTTTGCTTTTGTTTGGTCTTCCTGATGCAATGGCTGACTTTGGAGTCTTGTTGAATGACTTGTGGAACTTTTCAAATATAGATGCACTGCCCTAAAAAATACCACCCTTGGGCTACCTAGCTAATAAGAACTTCAAACACTATAAACATTGTAGAATTAAGATTTAAAGTAATATGCCAAATTCTTTAATTTTTATTGAAGCTGATTCTCAGGCAAATAAAATAAGCATATTCTGGCAATTGAAAACTGTTAACAAATGTCTTGTACAAGCAAGTTAAGTCATCAACTCTGTAGCTATCTTGTAAAAGCTCAAAGGATGACAACTGCAGTATCTTCACACTAATCCTCCACATTTTCTTTCTTTAAATACTTCCACACTCTCTAATTAGAATGATTTTAATCTTGCTTTGAGTCAGTACTGCATTTTAACAACATGTAGTTTCCTAAAATGCAGAGCCATACAGGTTCTAGAAAATATGCAGTCTGAAGCTTTTTAAACTGAAATGTGGCTAACCACTAGTTGCTTGTTTTGCAACAGGATTTTGACTCACTTGGCATGCTGTCATCAGGTGCCTATCCAATAATCAAATCAAAATCTTCCACTTTTTGAAGTTTACTTCCACAACACAGGCTTTACATGCAATGCCTTTTTCATCCTTGCCCTGACTTTTTCAGAGTGCAACCAGATATTTCAAAGGTTAGTTAATTTTCATGGGAGAGACCTGCAACACTTTGTGCTGGACCTAGAGTCTGAGCAATCAAATCTATTTGCTGTGTTCTCCTAGTTTTCTTTCGTATGACCTGGTTAGGTAGCTACAACTTAACTACAGATGTGTTCTCTGTAAATAGGAAAGAGATCATTCCGCTTTCAAAAGAAGGTTGCTATTTTTTTGGTTCATTAATGCCCATGTTCATCATTAGAATAACACAAAAAGTGTGGCATATGGATTAGAAATCTGGTCTTTACCAATTACCACAGGAACTAGTGTGTTTTAGAGATGGCCCATTGAAACTGGGCACATTTATGGGCATGAGGAACAATACATTTGATTTGTTTAGGAAATACCATTTTACAACTGGCTTTTGTTATGAGAGAAGATATCTAGAACAGCTGTTACTCTAGTTCTGGGTGGTGTTTGGTTCTTATTTTTATTTTGACAAATGGGCTGTAGGAAGATATCATCTTTGTGAATAAAGGTAGGCTGATCATGGTCCAAACCCTAGACAGGAGGAGTCATGGTCAGACACAGCAGTTTTGCCCTTCAAGAAAGAATTAAGAGAGAACTGGAAGCCAGATCTCTCCCAATCACCACAGCATTCAAGGGATTGTACTATGTTGGCTGAGCAGTAGAGTAGTTTAATATCTAACATGATAGTTCCCAGATATAGGTTCACCTCCAATACAGAAGTATATAAAGGCATTAGTCTTCCACTAAAATAATTGATTTTTAAAAATGGTAATGAAAAAAGATAAAGATTAGTTAATAAGCATACTGTATTGTGAGAATGATGCCAGTGAGTATAACCACACTTCAAGAGTCACCTCTTAAATAAAAACAGCTATGTAACAGTGATACAGATTCTTTTGTTAAATTTAGTAATCTAGAAAATATCCAAAAGTGGTACTGAAAAATATGAAAGCTAATCATTTATTTGCAGCATTTCAATACTTGGCAACACCACTAGAATGAATTTCTGAACTGTTTTGCAAATACTTTCCTATTTTGTTTTCTACAGGAGAGCCGATGAGCGGAGAGCAACTTCATCGAGCTGTCAGTATGAATGACGTAGAGGCAGTTCTTAACATTCTTCAGGGAGGGTGAGAAAATATTCAGATTATAAAAGATCTATAAAGTATTACAGTGGACATGAAATCATGTAAACTGCATGATGCTATTGTGTTTTGGTTCAATGATTTAGTTTTCCCATGTCCTAAAAATTAGACTGCACATTTTATGATAAAGTGACAAATTACAAATTTGCTTTCTGTTTTATATCATTTTACAAATGGAATATGTCATTTGGTTTTGATCACTCTTCCTTAAAAAGTGTATATAAGAAATAGATGTGATCCAAATACACCTCTACCCCGATATAACACGGTCCTCGGGAGCCAAAAATCCCTACCGCGTTATAGATGAAACCCCTTTATATCGGGGTAGCGGCGGCAGGGCTCCAGCGGTGATTTAAAGGGCCTGGGGCTCCCCGGAGCAGCCGGAGCCCCAGGCCCTTTAAATCGCCGGCCGAGTTCTGCTGCCGCAGCTCCGGGGTAGCAGCAGCAAGGCTCCAGCAGTGATTTATAGGGCTTGGGGCTCCCCACAGCAACCGGAGCCCCGGGCTCTTTAAATTGCCTCCCGAACCCTGCCGCCGGAGCCCCGGGGGTAGCAGCGGCAGAGCTCCAGTGGTGATTTAAAGGGCCCGGGGCTCCCTGCAGCAGCCAGAGCCCCGGGCCTTTTAAAGCGCCGCCCAAGCCCCGCTGCCGGAGCCCCGGGGTTACCGTGCTATATGCAAACCCGTGTTATATCGGGTCGCATTATATCGGGGTAAAGGTGTACGGGCAATGGGAATGATCAGAAGCATGGGAACACTTCCATGTGAAATGAAATTGAAGAAACTGGGAGTGTTTATTTTACAGAGTTGACAAATAAGGCAGAGGGGATATCATAAAAGGGTACAAAATAAAGAAAATGGGCACCTATATTCACCCCTTCTCATAACACAAGAAAAAGGGGACTTCTGATGAAACAGAAAGGTAGAGCAGGGGTTCTCAAACTTCATTGCACCATGACCCCCTTCTGACAACAAAAATTACTACATGACCCCAGGAGGGGGACCGTGGGCCATAGTTTGCCCACCTCTGATCTAGAACTAAGACTGTCACCTCCTCCCCATACTAGATGGTGGATGGATTGTGGCTTTTGCCTGGTAAGTGGGGAATGGCCCCCATGGGGTGAGATGTGGTGGAGCCAGGGTACTCTTTCTGCTCGCTGCACTCCTCACATGCATAGCGGGGACTGTAGATGTTTATCACTCTCTACTTAGTGTCTGATAAACTTGGTTTGTTTTAGGTAGTGTTAGTAGTTAGCTGTTTAAAGTGCTGTACCACTTCTGGCAGGTGTGCAGGGTAGAAAGTATAGAATGCATCAGCAGGAGCAAGTTTTTTGGGAAAACCAAGAGATAAGGCCAGAATGTGGTGGCCTGAACCTACTATATCTGACAGAGCAAGGGAAAGGCTTCATGTGTTGCACAGATTGAGGTACATCTTATCTGTATCTTGCGTGAAGACCGGGTGATGGGCTCCCATTCCAGGATTTAGCTCCACAGCTCTTTGCATGTGCAGAGATACCATCCCTGTTTAGCAGCCCAGTGTGAGTAAAGGAATGCATTCTACTTCACCCATTGTATCAACCTGATCCATCCTCCCACTATGATAGGCACATCTCTCTTGTCTATTCGTCATAATTGACCACAAATGTCATAGAATATCATAATCATAGAGATGCACACAGACTCATTGAGTTATTTAAGTAAAAGTATATATCTTAATCACTCAGCAAGTTACTATCCCATTCAGTTGCAATCAGTAACATGCAATTTCTAGTTGCTTTCATCTGTATAATAGACTAGTATCCTAGTTAAGTCAACAGGGTTAGAATAAGGTTGTTGTGAAACGTTGTCCAATTTTCCTGATTTTTCAAATGTTTATTAGAATATTCTATTTATTATTTGACTTCCATTATATTTCCAACCTCAACTCTGACATGGTGAAATTATTTTTTCCCTAAAAATATGATTTTACCTAGGCAGCTATAATTTTTTAAGTAGCTTATTTTTTTTGGAAAAATGAAACTTGAAAAATATTTGTCAATGAATTTCTATGGAAAAAACAATAAAAAACAAACTGTAATAATAGAAGTCAGCAAGAATAGTAGTCAGAATTTTTGATAAAATGATTAATGGTTTTTACTTTCACGCTGTTGGCAAAATTAATAGGTGATTACGATGCTTTGAATTTATAAGACACTATTTAGAAATATGTTGTGGAAAGATTTATAGTTGTCTCTGGAAAATATTTGAGATACACTAGTTTGTAACATTTTCTTTTCTCCTCCTGTAAGACATGTGAAGGTGGATGTTCCTGATAAACTAGGCTTTACTGCTCTGATGGTTGCTTCGCAGAAAGGATATGATAGGTATTACTGTTTTTCTTTTACCTCTTTGTTGTGCATGATAGATTTTTTTACACTTTTCTACTATATTGGAGCACAATAATAGATGGTCAGTTTAGGAAAAGTACAATAGAATATTATTGATGTTTTGTTTTTTTCATAATATAAAGGCAACTTTGACAATTTATAAAATTAATCCAGAGTGTTTATTTTATTCTTCTATGTATTTATTGTTGAAAATCAAAAAAGTCCTTTTTAGGATATATATTTTTTTTACTATCAGTAATAGACTGTGTGCAAAACTAAGTTTTTATTTACTCTTTCAGAGTTTCTATTTTAATGAGAAATGTTAGTTTACTGGGCATTGTTCTTGATGAAAATATTTTATGTTATATAGGCTTGCGAAAATATTGGTACAGAATGGAACAGATGTAAATCAGAAGAATGGAAGTGGAAAGGACAGGTACTGCATGGATATATTGTTTTACCAGAGATTTTGGGGAACTGGTATTATGCATTACCGCATCAATATTTGTTCAGTTCTGGAAACTGATATTCAGATTCTAGTTTTGGTCACAACTGAAAATGAGTTTTATTGATTTAATCTTAGTCTCCATTTGACCACATCATAAAATTACTATGGAGTTCAGTAAACTGGGAATCTTTGTTCAGGAAGAATACAGGACTTCATTAGAAAAGAGAATAGTAGATCAGGAGTCAGCTGCATTAGCAGAGGTCTGAAGAGGAAGCTTACACAGTGTTTACTCTCATTGGATGGCTCTAATATCTAAATTCACTCATATTTGTAAAGAAAAGAGACAAATAAAAACAACTTCAAGGAACAACCCCCTCTTCAAATAAACACTAGAACAGACTGTAGTAAGAGAAGTGGCTGATAGATATGATAGATATGTAGTTGTTAGGCACCGTATGCTGTTCTGTATTAGAGCCTCTATACAAAATTCATATTCAGCTGAAAGTTGATCCCATCTAGTGATTCTTTGGTGGCTCCTATGTGAGATGAATTTGGTGTGTGTCTGCTCCCACATCACAAACTCACCGCAATGCTTTATAATAATGGGCAGACTCAACAGAGAGACTGATAAGTGCATGGGCTATGGAGGCTGCTGCTGCCCTGGAGATAAACAGAATGTATCATTTACCAGGACTATCATGACAGTGCCTTTCATCATCACTAATTTCGCACACAATTTTTAAAAACAAGTTTATAGTAATAAGTGAATTTTAAATATGCAAATTAGCCAATTAATTGATTTGCATAAGGCGGTGCCTCCTAAAATCTAGTTAAGCTTGCTAGGTCTCTCTGTTTCTCCTGGACCTTGTCTTTATCTATGCCACTATCTTGATGCTGTCTGGGTTCCTTCTAGTCTGGCCTCACGGTGTTCTACACAAACGTCTTCCTTTGAACCTGAACTCCCCAGTGATTTCCTTCTGTATATTCTTTACTGTGCCTATCCCCTCACTTGCAGCTGTTACCCTACTTCCTTCTCTGATGAGACTGCTACCAATCTGCTGGGATCCCTTACAGCTGTCACCCCTGAAGCATTCAGGTGGCCCAGTCCATTTGTAGCTACTTGAGTTTCTAGTGTAGCCACTCTGATTTCCCCATTGCATTCTTAGCTCCAGGCAGCCCTTTCTGGCAGTTCTGTTATCCTGCTTGTCCTCTCCACTCATAACTAGGCTACTCTGTTTGGTACTTAGTAAATCAGACCATGAGAGGTAGAGTTACCTGGTTCTATATGTGATCCAAAAGACAAATGCTCCCAGTGATGAACCTTTTCAAGTGTCCCAGGATATTTGTCCATCTGCTTCTCTATTTGTCAGATCACGAATCTGTTTCCCTGCCCCCTTGGATGATCAATGGGCCAGTTATGGCTTTCTGGGGTTGTAGTATGCACACATACGTGTGTTCTGCCTGGTAATGATCTGGCAGGTTCAATAATTTATATATACTTTCTTATACACAGAGCATCAATATTCAATAAACTTTATTCCACATTCGCCAAAGAAATATATTTGTCTTGTTTCCTGTGCATTGGTAAAGTGTGTTTTCATCTCTATCCATGCACACATTTGATGCCAGGGTTCGTGGTTTTGAGAAAGACTGAAGACTGTCGGATATCAACTAAAATTAGCAAGTGTATATACACAAGACTGTGATAGATAGATATAAATTAGATTCTTTCCAATTTAAAAATAAAGGGAAAACTATGATGATTGGTTACTGATTCATGTTTCTTGTATGATTAACATAGAGCAATTTTATTATGGTTGACAATGAATTTAAGGGCTCAAAAATTAAATGTGTGATTTCATTGTTTGTGTACTTGAATAACTCCCTTGTGACAGGTGCTGTTCAAAAATAAAATAAGACAGTCCTTGTCCTGACAGTTTGCAGTCTAAATAGGGACAATACAGGACAGGTGGGTGTAGAACCAAATTTTGTCAGAGGGAGAAGACAAGGGTAATAGAAACACAAAGTGTGAGTATATTAGCTGAATGTATAGTTTTGTAGCTATATAATTATTTTATTTAAAAGAGATTAGCGAAAAAGAGATATTAGGGTGGAGACAGGGAAAGGAAGCTGGGAGGGATGGGGGAGGAGCGAGGATGCAGCGTGATCGGGGGAGTGGGCAAAACTGGGTGGGAAGAGGTGGGGTGGGGGTGCAGCAGGCACGGGAATGTGTGGAGTGGGGGCGGGGCCTAGGGTGGAGACAGGGATCGAACTCACCCCCCACCCCCCCACCCCCCCGCTCCCCCTGGCACTTTGAAAAGTCAACGCCTGTGCAATGGTGCCCCTGATGTTGGCTGGGACATTGTTGTTTAGACGTTATCTCATTAGTGATTAATTAATTAATTTAATTAAAACTAATTAATGAATCACTAATGAGACAATTGTTTAGACGTTATCTAGGCAGGTGGCCAGTCAAAACATCATCTTAACATTATTATTGTTGTTGTTGTTATTATTATTACAGGCTAATCTTGTATTAATTTTAATACTCTGAATAAAAAATGTATTTATATTTTCGTTTCACCTTAAGGATTCAGTTAAGGCTTTAAGAGCCAGAACTGTGTTAGAGTAGGAAGTGCATCACCTGAGTAATAGCTTTATTGTATGTAGTGTAGTTGTAGCTGTGTCAGTCTCAGGATGTTAGAGAGACAAGGTGGGTGAGGTAATATTTTATTAGTAAAAGATATTACCTCACCCACCTTGTGTCTCTGACAGTGTTATTGTTATTAATATATTACAGTAGTGCCTGCATGTCCCAGCCAACATCAGGGGCACCATTGCACAGGCGTTGACTTTTCAAAGTGCCGCGAGAGGGGGGGGGGGGGAGTTCGATCCCTGCCTCCACTCTAGGCCCCGCCCCCACTCCACACATTCCCGCGCCTGCTCCACCCCCACCCCGCCTCTTCCCACCCAGTTTTGCCCACTCCCCCGATCACGCTGCATCCTCGCTCCTCCCCCATCCCTCCCAGCTTCCTGCATGCCGCAAAGCAGCTGTTTGTGGCGGGCGTGAGGCGCAGGGAGGGAGGGGGGAGGCGCTGATCCGTGGGACTCGCCGGCGGTTGGGAGGCACTGTGGGGATGGGGAGGTTCTGGTAGAGGGGTTGCCGGTGAGTGCTCAGCACCCACCTTTTTTCCCCATGGTTGCTCCAGCGCCAGAGCACCCACTGAGTCGGTGCCTATGCCCCATTGTACTAGGTAGTGTTTAAAATATAGGAAGACCGTTTCTGCCCTAAAGAGCTTACAATCTAAATAGACAAGACACACTAAGGGTGGGAGGGGAAATGAGAAACAGAACGGTGAAGTGATTTGCTGAGTGTCACTCACTGAGGCAGTGGTAGAGCAGGGGCTAGAAGCCATATTCCCTAGTCCAGTGCTCCCATCCACTAGATCAGTATTTCACTGTGGGGATCATGAATGGCAGTCAGGGTGATCACGAGGCATTGAAAATTATATTACAATCTAAAGCAAAAAAAATCTTCTCCCTTGCTCTCTGCACACCCTTACCCTTAAGGTCTAGTATTCTTGGTTAACTTCTCAAAGATACACAGATTAATAGGATTATTACTGATGCATTTTTTACTGTAACATTTATAGTAAATGTAAAGGAGTTTCAAACATTTTTGGCTTTGAATAAGGGGTTGCCAACCTGAGAAGGCTGAAAAACATACTGCCTCTTATGTCAGTGTAGGGCTGGAGAAAGCATAATGGTTCCAGTGTCGCTGTCTGAAGATGAACTCATTAATGGCCATTTCTATTCTGGGGCCTCCACGTGCTTGCCAGCATGCAGGAAGGTGGCATTATGGTGTTCATTACTAGTAGTTCTCTCCTCTGTATTTGGGTTATGCTGGCTGTAGCATTATGGTCCTCTTCTGTTTTGGAGCACTGGAGGCAGAGTGGGGTGCAGCAGGGGAAGTGAAGGGTCTTCTTGTGCCTTTCTTTCACCCTCTCCCAAGGACAGCTACAGTATAGCTGTACATTAAATATCAGTAAAGTTGGTGGTTGTCAGCTCAAAATTACTAGTTGACAAGAAAAGGCTGCCCAAATTAAAGTAAGTCAACAATGTAAGAAGAATAATGATGTCCTGTTCTTCCAGCAAAATAATTCTCTTTATTTTTTCAGCCTAATGTTAGCTTGTTTTGCTGGTCACCTGGATATTATTCAATACCTCAGAGAACAAGGAGCTTCTTGGGAAGTCAGAGATCTGGGAGGTTGTACAGCTTTGCACTGGGCTGTGGATGGAGGACATTGTGAGGTTATTGAATGGATGATTAATGAAGGCTGTCAGGTATGGATTTTATCTGTGTGTTCTTAAGAGAAAACAGCATTTTATGGGACATAAAGAGGTTGTCTGATAGCCTGGTGATACTTTGGGAATGTTAGTGCTCGCTAAGTATATATCTGAGCCCCTTGGGATAAAGGAGTGCATCATATTGCTCAATGGATAGTGACCGTGACCATGACATAGGTCCTGAACATCTGGAATTGTGAAACTGAAGAAAAAATGGGGGAAGGTGAGGTCAGAGTTCTGATAAGAACATAGAGAATCTGCTATAGGAGGCTGGGGGAAGTGCTGCCTTTTAATTCTGTTGTTTATATAAATAAATTACTATACTTTGGTAATTGTTTTGTAGATAGCTAATAGGGAAATAGACAGACCCTGAAGAGCCTAAAATTGAAGGTTTTATAGTTTTAATAAAAATCTGGCATTTTGTTTTGCTCCCAAGCCTCCATGAAATTGGAGACAGGCAGTCTTGCCTACTTTTGATTTCGCACCATCTGGAGACACAAACTTGCATTAGCAAACAAAATGGGATATTCTTAGTAACAGCTCAGCAAATATTAGCAAATTGGTGGATATAATTTAATCAAGCTCTGGTTGAAGACTGCAGGGAGGCTAAATGAAAAGTTAAAGATATGGAGATAAAGATTGATGGGTATAATGTTATTCTAATTGAGAATACTAGAACTGTAAAGCACCAAGAAATGACCTGTAAAACAAGTTCAGATTAAGAAATGTCTTGTTGATAGAGGCTCCTGCAGGAGTGCAAACTGAGAGAGAAGGGGATTATGTGCTAGATAGGTCATGAAACCTCACATTATAACTTTATTGTCAGAAAGCATTCTTAGCCCAGTGAGTAGGGTAGTAGAGGTTACTGATTAATGAAAAATCTGCAAATCTTGGAGTGAAATTTGATCCTGTTGCATTCCACAATGACTCCACCTAAAGGAAAATGAGTTGTATATTTTCAGGACCTAAACTTGCATATTGCAGTCTGAAAAATATGAATATTGACATAGAAATGGCATGTTTATATTTTTCAGATTTAAAATAATTTCATCTAGGTTCTTACCATGTTCTTCTTTGGTATCCATTTTTTTTATTTTACCATAAAAGAATATGGAGTTTGAATATTTAATTTATCAGATATCCAGCCATATTCAGGTTTACTACTGGAGCTGTAGTACAAAGGTTCCAGAATCAAGGGGTAGAAAGGAGATTTCTTATTTAAATGATTGGCATACTGCTGAGGTTTTGTTGTAATATTAATTATATGTTTAGGGTGCCTAATGCTTTGCATTTTTGTTATTTTAAATTGCAATAAATAATAAATACATAATGATGTTATGATTCTTTTGAATGAGGAAGAAATCTATTCTCCATGCACAAACTTAAAAGGCCTGAAAACATACAGGAGTCACTTCTAATGTCTACTTTCTTAAAGCAGTTACCATGCAACTTGGGTGCAGAGCAAGGAATACATTGCCTCCTCTTAAAAGGAGCATGTACTCACTGGAGCCTGCAGGAGAAACTTTCTGGGGCTCCAATTAAAATATGTACCCTAAGTACTACTACTAATATTAGGGTTACCATACTTAACAAATAAAAAAAGAGGACCCTCCACGGGGTCCGGGCCCCTGCCCTAACTCCGCCCCCTCCTCCCTCCCACTCCCAGCCACGCGGAAAGGGCTGCCCGAGCGCTACCGGCTTCACGGTTTGCCGGGCAGCC